AGGGACCTCGATCTCAGCAGGGCTGAATCAGCACAGATTGCTCCTGCTGTGATGGCCATGGCTCGGGGAGATTTCCTGACCTGATCATCTTTATATTGTTTACCAGACTTTACCTTTGATTTGCCTGCATGCATTGCTAAAGGCAAATGTGTAATCAAACTGAATAAAAAGCAGGCAGGACTCAGACTTGTGGTTCCTCTTCTTGCAAAGAGGTTTCCCCCTGGTCCCCTAATGCCTTCAAAATCCATATTTCTTATACAGTGTATTCATTGTGTGTCATTGGCCTTCCCGCAGGTTATCCTGAATTGCTGTGCAGGTCGAGGCAGGGCTCATACCCACCCCAGTGCCTCAGGAGGGGCTGGTCCAGCCCCCAGTGCTCCACCTTGCAGTCATAGACGTCGTCAGCAGAAGGGAGGAAGGTGAGGTAACTGAACTTGAGGAAGGAATCATCACTCTTGGACAGGAAGCTGGTTTCAGAAACACCCTGCGTGACTGAGTGCCCGTTGCTCAGCCACGAGATGTTGATCACAGGAGGGAAGATGTTGTCCACGGCACAGATGAGGGTGTTGGGCTGGCCCAGCTCCACGGGAGCCTTGGGAAACACAGTCACCTCAGGAACCTCTGCGGTGAGGAAACAGCACTGGGTTTAGAATCGTGGGCAGCTCTGCCCTGAGGGTCCCTGAATCCTGGAGGGACCTCCCACCAACGTTTCCCCATCGGAGAGCAGAGATGCTCTTGTTCCCTCTGCTTGTGAGCCGCTGTACACTGCCCGCCCGTCATCCCCACGCCCTTCTCTCTGTGGGCCCCTGGCTAGGGTAAGACGTCTACGGGACCCGTCCTTTAAGAAGTTGAGGATTGCAGTGTGGGAGCAAGAATCTGTATTTCATGGAAATATGTGATTTGTAAGAAGGGAGAGGATGAGGGTTCAGCAAATTCCATGAGAAGATCTGGGACTCCTTGGAAAGGAGAACATTTTATAGAGTGAAGGGAATCTATCTGAAGGAAGAAGGGAGTGAGGCCTGGTGAAGGGTAGATTCAGTAAAGAGAGAAGATGGTGGACACTTACTATTGGGAGCAGCGGTATAGTTGGAGCGTTTAATCAGGAGGTCCAGGTTGTATTTGAATATAGCCATGTTTATCAGTGCAGTCTGAATGTCAAAATATTTAAATTCACTGAACCCAGACAGCCAGCAAACAGTCTCCCTCTTGTCCAAGTCCACGTAGAACTCCTCGTCTCCATCAAATTCATGGGTGTACTGGCCCGAGGAACCGTAGGAGTGGTAGACATTTATGCCATAGGCCCCAACGTGGTCAGCTGATGAGTGAGGTGGGAGCAGGGAGGTACAAAACAGGAGAGAAAGGATCTCATTAAACAAGTGACAAGAAACATTGTGGGCTGCACCTTCTACAGCCTGCAGACAGTCTCCAGCGCTTGCTCCCTCCCCTGGCTGTCCTGTTAGAACCCAGCTGCCTCTCCACTCTGATGGTTGCTCCTGTCTCAGGAACAGAATTCCACAGGCCTGTTTACTGCTATTCTCTGCCCACCTAGCTCAGCGCCTGGCACCTCTTGGGCTTAAGATAAATACTGAAATGGGCGGAACAAGGAATGAATGAATGACCATGGCCTTAGCTTTCTTTTCTTTTTAAAAAAAGTATATTTTATTGATTTTTTTGACAGAGAGGAAGGGAGAGGGATAGAGAGTTAGAAACATCGATGAGAGAGAA